ACACACACACACACACGGTTATTACTGAACGTTACCAGCTGTTTTTGTGCTTCGCTCACACAGTTTTCATTCCTACCTGACTCAGGGGGGTGAAATTGTAGCAGTGAAGGCTGTGATAATCCTCTTTTCAGCTGTTACCAGATCTGTCCAACTCCCCGTCCGGCTGTGTATTGCAGGTGATGAAACTCACAAGTGGACAAACATACACACATACTTAATTTACACTTGACGGACACGATTGTGCTATTTTACGCTCAAGTGCAACAAAGTCTGTTTGCATTAAGTCACCTATGTAACGTGTACAATCAATGTTAACCATAAAAAAATAGACTTCTAAAGCCAAGAATCAAAAACAAGCCAGTAGTTTGACAGGAAATAATGTTATATTTCCAGAATTATGCATTCTAAAAGCAAAGTTTTGGGAAGAAACATCCATAACCACAGGCCGTGAAGGTAAAATAAGCCCAAATACCAAAGTATGTAAATATCAACCTTTTATTGGAGTGTACAATGTAAGAGTTCATTGTTTGTCAAGCCTCACTGATAAGGCTTGCCATAACATAACATGATGTTGGCCATAACATCTTATTAACCGAGTTACCTATAGAAGCTAACATCAGCGAAAACATGGCTAGGTTTTTCCCAAAAAAGTATCTTGATATTTGACAAAAGAGGTCAGTTCTTACATCAAACAAGTGGCAATTTGTCTCTCAAAGACAGAATTTAAAGAGGACACTGACATTCCTCTTCTTTTGCAAACAGTCGGAACAAACAAACAAAAACAAAGATCAAAAAACATTTAGTCATGTTGTGTTATTTTTGCTGGATAAGACTATTATCTATATTAGCTCAACTAAAACCCAAAACATGTTAGCAATTCTAGCATGCTACGTGTTAGCATGTGCATAATTAGCAAACCTCATTCAGGAATGCTAATGTTAGGTCTATCCACTGAGTGCTATGCAGCTAACTAACTAGCCAAGTAAGGTAATGTTTTTACAAGATGTTCTTTATTTTAAAGGACAAAACTTTTATTTACTCAAACCCGAAAGTGCAGTTAACGATCCCTAATTTACAAAAAATGTTTGAACAGCTACCGTGGCGCTAACATGGCTGCCATAGAGAACCCCTGAAAGGCTGAGCTTAATCTGACGCTTAAAGGGGGAAAAAAAAGGTTAGCAGTTAGCAGCTCTGGTACCCTTCAATGCTAAGATTTAAAGTGAGACTTTGTAACTTTTAAAAGAAGAAACAAGTTCTTCCTCTAACAAATGACATTTTTTATTCCTTAGCAATAAAACGCACTCTTGCTTAACTGAGTACGCTCGTTTTTTTTTATGACCAGTTAGCATATGCTGGAAGATGTTAGCAAACTTTAGATTGACATTACTTTATTTCGTTCCATTTGTGCTGCTGTTATAGTAGATTTGAGCATTTTTCCATAATTGTCACTTGTGGCTGCAGTAGCTGTTGTTAAATGAGTTACAGTAGCTTTAAAAGAGAGAAACATATCTACTCTCGTTGGTTAGA